CTTGGTCTTTCTGAGACAGCGTCTCCCTGTAGCCCCAGCTGGCCTGGAACTCACTATGTAGACCAGGCTGATCTCGATCTCACAGAGATCCACCTGCCTCTGCCTCTCAAATTCTGGGATTAAAGGCATGTGCCACCACACCTGGCCCTACTGTTTCTTTTTTAACATGGGAGATTATACATTAAAATGTCTCAAGGGCTGGGGAGATGGCTCATTCATTAAAGTGCATGTTGTACAAACATGAAAACTTGAGTCTGATTCCAAGAAACAAATTTTTAAAAATCCAAATTACAAATTTGTAATTACACATTTGTAATCCCAGCACTGGGGAGGTGGAGACAGGTGGATCCCTAGAGCCTTGCTAGCCAGCCAGCCAGCCTGGCCCACGTGGTAAGCAACATGGCAGTGAGAGACCTTATCTGGAAAAAACAAAAACAAAAAACAAGGTGGACAGCTCCTGAGGAATGACATGAGACTGACCTCTGGTTACACACACACACACGCACACACACTCACATGTGCGCTTCAAAAAATCTAATCTGGCAAATCCACACCTACATTCTCATGTGGAAGGCCAGTCTGTCACTGCTATACTAATGTTTCCTGCCTGGCTACAGTAGGCATCTGAGTTTGAGTCTCCTGACCTTGCTGGTGAGATGAGCAGGCTCAAGTATCTATGGTTTGGGGCTGCAGAGATAGCTCAGCAGTTAAGAGCACTGACTGTTCTTGAAGAGGACCCAGGTTTGATTCCCAGCACCCACATGGCAGCTAACAACCATTCATCACTTCAGTTCCAGGGGATCTGACTCTCTTTTCTCACCTCCATGGGCACTGCACAACACAAATGCACTTACATACATGCAGGCAATACACTCATACACATAAAATAAAAATAATTTAAAAAATAATACCTTTTTTTTTTTTTTTTTTTTTTTTAAAGAACAAACTAGTTCTGGGGCAATATAGTTCAGCTGGTAGAGTGCTTGCCTAGCATGCACAGAGCCCTGGGTTCAATCCCCAGACCAAGGTGGAACATGTTTATAATCCCAGCAGAGAGGAAGCAGGAAGATCAGGAGTTCAAGGTCATTCCCAGTTGCTGACGGGCACCCAAGTTTTAGGGAATAATTTCATGATATTTTTATCTAGACTATAAGCACAAAGATTTAGCATCATGTCATCAATATTTATAAAGTGAACAACTGGAAATGGTCTCAATATCTATGTTGAACATGTGAGGAAACAAACAGAATAACATGAAGTCATTCAGGAAGGAGCAGGTAGATGTTATTAATGTGGAAAGTGTTCATTACAATGTGAAATCAAGATACAAAATGGCTTGTATATCAAAAGTACATGTTTATTAAAAGCCTTTCTAAGTTAACTTATAGACCAGAAATTGACAATGGGTGTCTCTGAAAGTGTTTTATGTTTTTATTTTATATTCTAGATTTTCCTCTCAGTTTTCTACCTGATTAGTATGTTTCTTTCATAAAAGTTGTGGTAATGTAGGGGTTTTTCTTGTAATATAGTTAACTTTTAAAAATGTTTCTTCTTTCAACTTTTAAGTAATTTTATGTTATTAAAATATAGTTTTAAAAAAAATAAGAAAAGAAAGGGGCAAAGGTACCAGTGGCCAAGGTTAATAACCCGAGTTCAGTCCCCAAGGCCACATGGTGGAAGGAGAGAACAGACTCCCAAAAGCTGTTCTCTACCACACTGGTTCTGTGGCACACGCACAAGTACACACTTGCAACTGCAAAAATATAAATGGTAATTGCAAAAATTTTTATTTTAAAAAGGAAGGGCAGGGCTGGAGAGATGGCTCAGCAATTAAGAGCACTGACTGCTCTTGTAAGAGGACCCTGGTTCAATTCCCAGCACCCATATGGTGGCTATGGACTGTCTTTAACTCCAGTTCCAGGGGAATCCAAAGCCCTCTTCTGACCTCCATGGCATTGCACGACACGGGTGCACTCACATACATGCAGGCAATACACTCATACACATAAAATAATAAAAATAAAATAAAATAAAAAGAAGGGCAATGTGGCTGTCCTCATCACCTTTGCAAGCCTTATCTTAAAGCTTTTTCTTCGTTTTTGAGACAGGGTCTCCCTGTAGCCCCAGCTGGCTTGGAACTCACCATGTAAACAAGGCTGGCATCCATCTTACAAAAGTCCACCTGTCTCTGCCTCCTGAGTGCTGGGGATTAAAAGCAGGTGCCACCATGCCCAAGCTTCTAGCACTAAAAAAAATTTATTTTGTGTGTGCATTTGTGTGCACTCATCTTTTCTAGCTTTTTCAAAAACATTTTATGGGGCAGGGCTCAGTGGTTAAGAGCACTTGCTGCCCAAACTTGAGGACTGGAGTTGGACTGGAGTTGGAGTCCCTGCACCCACATTGGGGAACTCACGAATACCTGTAACTTCAGCTCCAAAGGCTCTGATACCTTCTTCTGGCCTCTGCAGACATCCATACACTTGTGTACACACACACATGCACATACATGAATAAAACACAAATAAATCTTTAAAAAATATTTCCTATTGTGTGGTTGAGTTATACCTGACGGGAAACAGTAAGATGTTTTGAACGGAATACACTTTGCAAAATGATCACATCAGGGTAATTAGTATACACTGTCACCTCCTACATTTATCATTTCCTGATTCAGTTCCTGGTATTACTGACCTCAAAATACAGCAAGACAGGTGGATGTAAATTAGCCACTTTCCAGGTGACTTGTAAGCACTCCAAGTTTTAGGACTGGTTGAGAGAGGAACTCTTGAGTATTGAACCCAGGGATCTACCATAGCGCTATAGTCCCAACTGGAAGAGGAAATTCTTATTTATTTAGGATTTATTATTTTAACCTAGGATGTATCCTAGGGTGACCTTGAACTTCTGATCTTCTTGTCTCTACCTCCGGAGTACTGGGATTACAGGTGTCTGCTGTCACATCTGGTTTTGGAAAAAAGAATTTTTTGGTTTTTTTTTTTTTTTGAGTGAGACAGGCTGGCCTGAAACTTACTTGCTGGCCTTGATCCGCCTGCCTCTGGCCTTCAGAGTTCTGGGAGAAGGAACTTCTTTTCTCTCTCATGCCTTCACTTATCTTCACTTGTTCTCTTTAATTCAATTTAGTCCGTTCATGCCTAGTTTGGGGCAGTCACTTGACCTACGCATGCGCACTCCGGACGGACAGAGAGGTCCTCCTGGCGTGGTGGTCCCGCCTCCCGACGCTGGTCATTGGTTGGCTTCCAGCAAGCGCGCTTCTCATTGGTGGCTGCTGGGAGGCCCCGCCTCCTGGCAGAGTTGGCGGGAAAGCGGCCACGGCGTAGCATGGCGGCGGCGGAGAAGTCACTGTCCTGGGGCGGCCCCGGGGCAGTGCGGCTGCCGCCGTCACCGCCGTTCAAGGTGTTAGCAGCGCAGCTGCGGCGCGATACGGAGGGCGGCCCGGGCGCGTGGCGGCTGTCGCGGGCGGTGGCGGGGCGCGCGCCGCTGAAGCTGGTGGCCGTGTGGATGCAGGGTACAGTGCTGGCGGCGGAAGGCGGCCAGGCGCGGCTGCGCGACCCGAGCGGGGCCTTCTCGGTGCGCGGCCTGGAGCGCGTGCCGCGCGGCCGGCCCTGCCTGCTCCCAGGTAATGCGGGCTCGGCGCGGCTGGCCATTGGGGCAGGCCGGCCCCACCTCCAGGTCTTCTTTCCCTCCTGTCCCCACCCCTGTCAGAGGAGCCTATGGGGTGACGGGCATCACCTGAGCATCACGCCTGACATCCCACCTCTAGGGCACCCAGGCCGGAGAATCGCAAGTTACAGGCCAGCTTGGACGACTAATTGGATGGGATGGTGCATGCCTGTCAGCTCAGCTCTAGGAAACCGAGGCGGAGGATGGCTAGCCTAGGCTACCAAGCGTGTTCAAGGCCAGCCTGGAAAGCTTAGTGAGACGCTAAATAAAAGTAAAAAGAGCTGCGGACGTCACTTAGTAGTAGACCGCTTGCCTAGCATGCATGAGGCCTTAGGTCCAATCCCCAACCCTGCAAAGATAGTAAACAAATTAATAAAATAAAAACGCCTGCAGGTGTATGTGGCTCTTCCAGACCTCCTAGTCCGGAGTTCTGGGCTTCTGCGTTTGTCACAAGCTCTCCCCACAGATGTTTTACATTTTCCCTTAAATTTTAAGAAATAGTGCCCCTGGACCTGGGTGTGGTGGCCCACCCATTAATCCCAGCATGGGAGGCAGAGGCAGGCAATCTCTGTGAGTTTGGGGCCAGCCTGGTCTACATAGTGAGTTCCAGGCCAGCTGGTGCTACAGGGTGACCCTGTCACATTTGCATCCTTTTTCTGTTTATTTTGAGACAGGGTCTCATATAGTCCAGGCTGGCCTCAAACTGTATATAGTTGAGGGTGATCTTGAACTCCTAATCCTCCTGTCGCCTCCCGAGTGCGGGATTATGAACATAAACCACCATGCCTGCTTCATGTGATGCTGGGGATTGAACCCAGGGCTTTGTGTATGCTAGTCAAGCACTCTTATCAACTGAGCCACATCCCCAGCCCCATGTCTGTACATGTTTAAGATGCCAAGGAAAATGGACCTTCATCTGGGTAAGTCCCTGGGACCCCTAGGAGTTGGGGACACCTTCCTGTACCTCTACTGCCAAGAACTATGTTAGCTATGGTTTGCTGTTCATAAACAGCTGGTGCTCAAACTTGAGGGAACATCATCAAACTTGCCCCAGGACCTTGCTGAAGCCAGCTGTTTGGGCTCCCCTCAGGGCTCCTGTATCAGGAAGTCTAATGGGCTCCAAAGAGATATTGAGCTTGGATTGTGGGTTGACACATCTGGACCATGTGTGTCCTGACACTTAGGTATCCTAAGGACAGGTTTTGGGTACCTGGCATCTCATCTCATTGGCTAGGATATCAGTTGAGCATGTGAGGGTCTGGGCTGCAGTTGACAGTCCCAGCCTAGAGCAGACCTGAAACAAGTTTCCCAGTGGATCCTTGACCCTGTGGAACTAAAGGCCTAGGACACCTTTGAAGGAAGTGAGGTTCTGGTTTAAGGAGCCTGAAGAATCAGCGGGCCTGCCTTTCTGTGGCTCCCTCTCCTGTGAAACCAAGCCAAGCTCTTTAAGAACTCTTCCTGCTCAAGAGTCTTGGATTCTGTCTAGAGGCAGACAAGGTCAGGGGTCTGGCCTGGGCTTTGTTTGTAGCCACCACCCCCGCCCTGGAACTTGATAAGTAGACCAGGCTGGCCTCAGTCTCATAGAGATCCGTCTGTGGCTGCCTCACAAATGTTGGGATTAAAGGTGTGCTCTACCATGACAGGCTGTGGGTGGGCTGTCCCCTGTGTATTTTGGACTCAGAATTAGGTTAAATTCCCTGGCCTTTATCTTCTCTGAGCTGTCTGGAGCACTTCTGCCTTTTCTGGGTCTCTGTCTCTGTCTCTCTCTCTCTTTCTCGTTCTCTCACCCCCCCCTTTTCTCTCTTTCTCCCCCACCCCCAAAAGAAACTAATAATTCCTGCTTGTTGTGGGCAATCAGTAGGTAGACTTAGCCTTGACACAGCATCTGGCTGGTAGTGTGGTTTGTACCAAGTGACTTGTTATTTATCACAATGTGTTTCTTTTTGCTCTCCCCATCCCTGTCAGTAGCTCCAGTTTTAGCCTAACCCAGGACTAACAAACTCAAATAGCCTGTAAATTAAAAGCAGTTTCTACTTTTTTTTTTTTTGGTCTTTTTGAAGCAGGGTTTCCCTGTGGCCCCAGCTGTCCTGGTACTCACTATATAGACCAGGCTAGCTTTGAACTCACAGAGATCTGCCTGCCTCTGCCTCCCAAATGCTGGGACTACAGATGTGCGCCACCACACCCGGTTCTACTTTTTAATTTTTTACTTTTTTTGGTGCTGGGCATCAAACCCCAGCATTGTGTACACTAGGCAAGTGTTCTATTACTGAGCTCCGTCTCCAGTCTCAGCTTCTACTTTTTTATTTTTTATTTTATGTTTACGAGTGTATTGCCTGCATGTATGTGAGTGTACCTGTGTCGTGCAATGCCGTGGCGGTCAGAAGAGGGCATTGGATTTCCCTGGAACAGGAGCTAAGGGAGGTTGTTAGCCACCATGTGGGTGCTGGAAACTGAACCCAGGTCCTCTGCAAAAACAACCAGTGCTCTTAACCACTGAACCATCTTCTTAGTCCCCTTTTTTTTTTTTTTTTTTTTTTTTTTTTGAGACAAGGTCTCACTATGTAGACCTGGCTGACTGCAAACTCTCAGAGATCCAGCAGCCTCTGCCTCCTAAATGCTGGGGTTAAAGGTATGTGCCACCATACCTGGCTAGCTTTTATTTATTTATTTATTTATTTATTTATTTATTTGTTTGTTTGTTTGTTTGTTTATTTTGGGTCTTTTTGAGACAGGGTCTCTCTGTAGCCCCAGCTGACCTGGAACTCACATAGACCAGGCTGGCCTGGAACTCACAGAGATCCAACTGCCTCTGCCTCCTGAGTGCTGGGATTAAAGGCATGCCACCATTCCCAGCCTAGATTTTACATTTAAAAAATATTTTTTAGGGGCTGGAGAGATGGCTCAGCAGTTGAGAGCACTGACTGCTCTTGCAGAACCTGGGTTCGATTCCCACCACCCACATGGTGGCTAAAAACTATGACTCAGTTCCTGGGGACCTTATGGCTTCCATGGACATTGCACTGCATCGGTGCGCTTACATACATGCAGGCAAGGCACTCATACACTTTAAATAAAAATAAAATAATAAATTTTAAAATGTTTTTATTACATCTTATTTATTACATGTGTGCATATATAGCTGCACATGTGCCTCAGCATGCTTGTGGAGACCAGAGACAACTTTCAGGAGTCAGTTTTCTCCTCCTACCATGTAGGAGATTGAAGGGTCCTGGGGGATTGAACTCAGGTCATCAGGCTTGGGAGCAGACTCCTTGACCTGCTGAACCACCTTACCAGTCCAGCTCTTGCATTTTGAAATAACCAGGAAAAAAATCATGACATTTGAAATGTATATACAGTTGGAATGGCAGTACTGCCAGTGAAGTTTTACTGAAATGAAATGCACTTGTAATTTATAAAAGGTTAGGTTCTGTCTACCACTGTAAGGTCATAGTTCAGTAGTTATGACAGAGTTCCTATAACCACAAAAGCCTGAAGTATTTAGTATGGTCCTTGACAGAAAAGTTGGCCACCCTTGGCCTTAGCCTTGCCCTTGCTCATAACCCGGCCCAGACACAGTCCCTTGAAGGCAGACTTGAACAGTGCCCAAAGCCTGGTGCCAGCTGTGGAATGAGCCAGGCACCCGGCAGAAGTCTCTGTGTTGAAGTGAATCTGTTGGCCTCACCCTCTGGCCTGCATGCCCAAGCTCAGGGCCCATGCTGTTTCTTCTTGTTGATGAATGCCAGCCTGCCAGAACCCAGCCACAGCCTACAAGTGGGACCCAGGGAAGTAAACAGACCACTAAACACAAAGTACCATTGTAGGCCTTAGCCCAAGGTGTGGCTCCTCCTGTTAATTAAGTGGTGCTCATGATATCTGCCCCCTTGTTTTAGAAAATCCCAATGCCCAAGCATACAATGAATTCGCTACTGTGTATGCTGTTATGGTCACTGCTAACCATTCAAGGGAACTTGACCTCCAGCTGCAGAGCACAGGAAGATTGCTTTTGTCCTTACCTGGCTCGCTGGTTCATCTGGCGTTTACTTAACAGCAGCAGATGCAAAACTAGGAGGGATACCTGGTCCAGGCTCAGGGGGGTTAGGGAAGTTGCCCATATGCTCCTGGTCCGGGTGGAGGAGGCAGTCCTGAAGGATTCATTGGAGATATCCATAGGGAACAACCTTCCTGGGTTGCTTAGGACTGAGACGGTGCTGGGATACAGGATGTCCAATGTCACAGCGGGGACAGTGGCTTATCCTGTGTCTATACAGTGGCAGATTGTTCAGTTCCTTTGAACCACATGTTCAAAGGCCCGGAGGCAGGGACTCTAGATCACCATGGGGCAGCAGTGAAAGGTGGCTGTCTATGAAAGATTTGTCTGCCCTAAGTGGCCTTGATGCTCACTGGTTTGCTGCTGCTCTGCCTCTGGGTTTTTCCAGCAGTTTCTCTCCAGGCACTGAAGATGCAAGTAGAGTGGGAAACTCCCTGCCTTCCAGCTGCTCCCATTTTGCAGATGGAATCAAGAGGCAGTGCTCGCCTCAGCTGTGCTGGGATGGCAACGCTCAGCAAGTAGCTGCTTCCAAGGACTGCAGCGGTGGCAGGAGAGTTGAGAGGATGGATGCTGGAAGGAGAAGGGCTGAAGCCATTGCAATGGCCAGGGCCAGAGAGGGTGAAGGTCTGACCCTGGGCAGTGTTGTGTGGAGAAGGGGAAATCCTGTGAGGGATACGAGTGCCACCCAGAACTGGTCCCCTCAGTGTGTTTGTGTTGTGTGATGTCCTTTCTCTGAGCTCTGCAGAACAGGTCTGTTAGCCTCATCTGGTTTTCAGGCCTTGTGATTCTGAGGGTTCTGTACCAATTAGCACTTGGAACCATGTACAGGGTACAGCTAGCACCAAGGAACCGGGTGGGATCTAGAGATGGATTTGGAGTCGCCCATATGCTCCTGGTCAAGGTGGAGTACCAGAGGGCCTTTGGCAGCTTCAGGGCCTGGCTTCCTTCAGTTGAAGCCCTGTGCCCATGTGTAAACTCCTCCTGGTGGGCATGCAGGGGGTTGGCCGAATGCCTGCCTTTCCTGCCATGGAGGGAACTTTTTACACAATCACATTCTGTTCGGTTTATGATTGGCCAAGTTGTGCTTTCAAGGAGAGTTACTTCCCCCAGGGAATGGGAAGAGTCGTGGTTAACAATGTGTCATTAGATCATCCTAGTGGCAGCCTGCCCTTCCACCGACTTCCTCTTGTGTGCCCAGCAGTGTCCTGGGATAAAGCCTGAAGTGGCAGGGATTGGTCCCAGGCGACTGGAACAATGGTACACTGTGTGTATGTGGGCTTTGGGGGTTGTGCGCTGATTCCTGGCCCAATTTTTTTGGCAATGTGGGAGGAAAATTGGATTTACATTTCAGCTGTCAGGAAGTGGCTTTGCAGGAGAACCCGTAATGTGAACAGAGAGCAGGCACTCACTATGGCAAGACTGAGAGCAAAACTTGGGTTTTCTGCCCCTGCCTGGGGTGCTGTGTCTAATTATAACTCACTCTGATCAAGAGTTGCTTGCATTCCATGGACGTGACTGCCTGTTGTGTTTAAGCATATGAGAAACAGCAGGCAAGGCGATGCAGATGTCATCATCCAGGTTCAAGTGATCTCATGGTTAGTGTATGTATCCATTTCCATCCCTGACTGCCTTGTTTTGGTATCTACTGTCCGTCTGTCCGTCCGTCCGTCCGTCCGTCCGTGTGTGTGTGTGTGTGTGTGTGTGTGTGTGTGTGCGTGTGTGTGTGTGTGTGTGCGTGTGTGTGTGTGTGTGCGCGCGCGCATGTGTGGGTGCTTGGAGGCCAGAGGTGTGTTTCTCAATTGCTCTTCACCTTTTGTTGTTTTTTTGAGACAAGGTCTCCCTGTAGCCGTACCTGGCCAGGAACTCATGTAGACCAGGCTGGGCTCCCTCTCACAGAGATCTACCTCCTGAGTACTGGGATTAGAGATGTGCATCACCATACCGGGCTGTTCACCTTATTTTTTGAGACAGGGTCTGTCACTGAACTTAGAGCTCACTAATTGGGCTAGACTGCTGTCCAGAGAACCCCAAGGATCCCTCTGACTCTACCTCTCTCCAATGCTGGGGATGCATATTCATGATATTGTGTCCAGCTTTTTACATGGGTGCTGGGGATCTGAACTCAGCCTCATGCTTGAATGGCTAGCACTTTACTAACTAAGCCATCTCCCCAGCACCCTGCCCCTCTTTTTCAGGATTGGAGATCAAACCTAGAACCTTGTGCATGATAGGCACCTCCAGCCCTAGATATTTTTTTCTGTCTTGAGCTTCCCTCTCTCTAATCAAGGCCCTGAGGTCTGGGTCTCCGTGGGCTGCCCCCACCTGCCTTGTTACAGGAGCATCACCACACTGTTTTCTTCTCTTCCTAGGAAAGTACGTGATGGTGATGGGGGTGATTCAGGCCTGCAACCCTGAACCCTGCTTGCAGGCAGTGAAGATGACAGATCTTTCGGACAATCCCATCCATGAAAGCATGTGGGAGCTGGAGGTGGAAGATTTACACAGGAGCATTCCTTAGAGCTGTTGAGATCGTCCAGAAAAACAGCCTTCCCCTTGAAATGATTGTGGATCTCAGGAACATCTCAGAAGCCTCTTGGAGAGAATTGCTTTGGTTGAGCTAGACGGTGGGATGCAGGAATTTTTAAGCTCTAGGAGCTTGGGTTGAGCCAGTGTCTCCGGTGCCCGTGCTTGGACTGCTTCCTGATGAGAAGCAGCTGCTGTGGGTTTTTTCCCTTTGTTGTTTGTGTGTTGATTTCTCTAACGCAGAATGAACCCAGGACTCTCCTGTTGCATTTTCTAGAGCTGATCCATGATGACACTTTTCCATTACTGCACCTCTGCTTTATGATGCAAAGTCTGAATCTCAGCCATTGGCAGTGGGATTAAAGTGCAGGCACGGGCGAGGGCTGACTGAGGAATGACATTGTGACTCTGGTCTCCCTGTCCTCCAGCCAGCAGCTTCTAGGGGCAGGTACCAGAGCCCCTCACAGACATGGCTGTCTCTGCTTCCATACACTCAGCCCTCCTTGCCCGTTTCCCTCAGACACAGGAGGTGAGACCCGCTCTTGAGCATGGTTGATACAGTTTCAGAATTTCTTACTGAAATTAGAAATCTAAGATGATACCTACTTTTCAAGCAATTACTAAACCTCTGCTTCAGAACTGTTGGTGAGACACAACCAGGGAGGGAGCTGCTGGCTTTGAGTCCTGACCTCTTTTCTGCATGAAATGGCTTCTTCATGGAATTGTGGCAATGTTGGGTTTCTGTACCCTCTTCTTACCCAGACTAGGTGCCTTTGGGTGGTAAAGACCAAGGTCTCGTGTATGTTCCAGCACTGGTACAGGATTTGCCCGGACGGCTGATATTCTACCACCGATAGCATTTTTATATGATGTCCTTTTAAAAACAATAATAAACTTGACTGTTTGTTTGTTTGTTTGTTTTTGAGACAGGGTCTCATATAGCCCATGCTGGCCTCAAAACTCCCAAGCCTCCTGCCTCTACTTCCTGAATGCTGAGATTACAAGGTGTGTGTCACTGTGCTTGGTTCCTGTAGTGTTAGGGATTGAACCCAAGGTTTTGCACATGCTAGGCAAGCATTCTTATCAAGCCCCATCTCCAGACCTACATGTGATTTGTTAAAGCAGTTTTAGGTTTGCGGAAAACTTGAACAGAAAGTACAACATTCCTAAATACCCCTCACTCCTACCCCTTTTTGCAGTACTGGGATTGAACCTAAGGCCTTGTGTGTGTTAAAGTACTGTACCACTGGGCTACAGCCCCAGCTCTTTTATTTTTACTTTTACTTTTAAGACAGGACGTCACTAAGTTGCCTAGATTGGCCTTGAAGTCAAAGTTCTACCTCAGCCCCCTGAGTGCTGAGGTTACAGGCCTGCACTGCTAGTCCTGCTTACATGGATGTATTTTTTTTAAGATTTATTTTTATTTATGTGGGTACTCACAGAGTCCAGAGAGGGTGTCAGAGCCCCTGGAGCTGGAGTTAATGGTGGTCATGAGCTACCCAGCATGGGTGCTGAGAATGGAGCTTGTATTAAGCAGTATGTGCTCTTAACTGTTGAACCAGCCCTCTAGAAGTTTGTTTTAAGCTAGGCTATGTTCATAGTATGGAGTTTTTCAGGTAATATTGGTACAGTGCTACAGACCTAAATTTGAGTCTGTTGCTAAATTTGCTGTGTGACTGTGAGCAAGTTACCTAGCCTCTCTTGTTTCTATATCTACCAAATGTAAATTGTGGACCAACTCATAGCCCAGATGTGAAGAATAAAAACCTGTGATCACATTTGCAAAGTGCCTGGTATGCAGTAGGTACCATATTATTGTTGCTGGGAGAAGCAGTAAGTTCTTACATCCATCTGTTTTGTGTATGTACGTTTTTTTCTTTAAAAGATTGTTTTTTAAAGTATGTGTGTATGTGTGTGTCACTGTTTGGGTCTGTGCACATGTGAGTGCAGGTGATGGCCAAGTCCAGAAGAGGTCATCAGACCTTGGAGCAGGAGTCACAGGGAGTGTGAGCCACCTGACATGGGTGCTGGGAACAGAATTCTCTGGAAGGGCAGAATCCTCGAACTGCTGAACCATCTCTCCAGGCCCCTGAAACTTAATTTTGGTGCAGGCCACAGAATCTCTGCTATATGGTTCTTAGATTAAAATGGTATCCCCAAACTGTTTTTTTGTTTTGCCCCAAAATAGCCATTCAGCTGAATGTGTGGCATGGCCTAAGACCTTGCACTGAGGTCTACTTTACTGTGGTCTCCCTTTGAAACCTGCTTTTCTGTGGAGAACTGGAAGCTGCCAACAGCCTTCCAGTCGTGTCGTTGCCTAACTCATGGATGGAAAAGTGCGGGTAGGCTAGATGTGACTGGGCAGTAGGGTGTGGACCACGGGTGGGGTAGGGGGGTGCTCAGTGCATCTGTTCTAACGTGCCCCAAAGGCCGTGGCTGAGCTGGAGGCGCCTCTCCAGCACAAGAGCCAGCCTGTGGTTTCTCTACACATTCAGAACTCTCACTGTTGGGGCTGCAGTTTCCTCCCTGACAGCACCAAATGAAAACGCATCCGGAGGCTTCAGTTCTCGGCTGCCAAATCAAAGTCAGTTTATCAGCAAGCCACCCGCCAGACCACGGCATGCGGCCTTGTGTGCTCGGCACAGCACAGCTTCCCTTTTGAAATTAGCTCTTTTCTAAGAACTGAAAACAAGCAACCTAGGTTGTGAGTTCACTTTTCTTGGAACTGCTTTACATTATTTATAAAAGAAAAAAAAAAAAGGCGAAACCATCACTTAGCTGGTTTTGAATTGCCTGAGTTCCCTAATTCTGTTGCGTGTTCTTGTAAAGCTGAAGATTTATTGCAAAATTTTGAAGGTGGGCAGGGGAAAGAGGGAGCATGTGAAATAGAGGTGTCTTGTGTCTTGGCTTGCTTGTGTGTGATTTGATGATTAAGGAGAAAAACTAGAAGGGATGCCATGAGCAGAGCCACCTTCAGATTTCAAGGATCAGCCCTGGGTTCTGTGTGGCCAGCAAATAGGCTAGAATTGGTACTGCTAACCTTCTGGGCATGTGGTCCACTCTTCCTGAGCAGCTGCCTCCCCTGAGAGTACAGGGAGCCCGGGTGCGCTGGTGCATGCCTGTAACCCCAATACTGGGGAGGTGAAGACCACTCTGGCTGCACTGCACATTCTATGCCTGTGAGCTACATAGCAAGACCCTATCTGAAACAGGAGTGGGGAGTGAGCTGGGGCTGCAACTCAGTCGGTAGAGTGCTTGCCTGCAGGCATGAAGCCCTGAGTTTGATCCCTAGCACTTCATAAAGCGGGGCGTAGTAGTGCTCCCCTGTGATCTTAGCTCTTGGGAGATGAAGGCAGTAGGATCAGAAGTTTAAGATCTTCCTAGGCTATATAGAAAGTTCATGGCCAGCCTGGGCTACAGGAGACACTGTGTCTCACCAAAAAAGGGGAAGAAGAATGCATGTAAAGATGCAGTGACCTACATTGATCAAATAGCTTTGAGCCTGTTCAAGACATCATCCTGCCTGCTGGGGACTAGGGAGACTGTGGTGCTGTCATACCCAGGGTCCAGTCCTGGTTCCACCCTTCTTGTCTGACCTTGGGTTTGAAGGTGCACCTGTGAGGTGGGTGTTGATGGTAGGTTCTGGGGAGCTGGGTTAACAGACCCTTCTGAGTAGGGAGCTCGGTAGATCCACACTGAAATTGTTTTGAAATCCTTGCTTGGTACTTCCATCCCTCAGGCCTTACATAGCACACACAGGTGGCCAGTAAGCAGCGGGACTGGCTGGGTTTTAGGTTGGAAGACAAGAGGCACACAAGCAAGAACACAGTGCTCTGCAGCTCTCGCTTGATTCAGTTTCACATGAAAGGGAACTTGGCATATGAGGGGTTTAAAATATGTCCATTCATTCATTCATTCGTTCATTTGTCTTGTGTGTGTATATACCTGTGAGTCTGGAGATCAAAGGACAATTGTGGGAGTTGATTCTCTCCTTTCACCAGGTGGAATAGGGGGATCAAACTCAAGCTTGGCAACAAGCTTTTTTACTTGCTGAGCCACTTTGCCAGCCCAATTTGAGGGATTTTTTGGTGGTTATTATGTTTGGGTTTTGTTTGCATATATTTATATATATATTTAATATTTTGCTTATTATTTTTATTTTATGTGTATGAGTATATTGCCTGCATGTGTGTGAGTACACCCATGTTGTGTAGTGCCAGGGAGGTCAGAAGAGGGCTTCTGATTCCCCTGGAACTGGAGTTAAGGACAGCTTGTAGCTGCCATGTGGGTGCTGGGAATTGAACCTGGGTCCTCTGCAAGAGCAGTCAGTGCTCTTAACCACTGAGCTGTCTCCCTAGCCCGTTTGCTTATGTTTTTTATTTTTAAATTTTATTGCGTGTGCGCGCACGTTAGGAAAACACTTTCCGGAGTCGGTTCTTTCCTTCAACTGTGCATCCTAAGGAATGAACTCAAGTCCTCAGATTTGCATGTAGCAAGCCCTTTTAACAACTGAGCCATCTTGCTGGCCCTTGTTATATATATATATTTTTGGGGGGGGGGGAGTCTTTTTGAGACAGTCTCCCTGTAGCCCCAGCTGGCCTGGAACTTACTGTGTAGACCAGGCTGGCCTTGAAGTCACAAAGATCTGTCTGCCTCTGCCTCCCAAATACTGGGTTTAAAGGTATGTATCACCATACCCGGCAACAACTGAGCCATCTTGCTGGCCCTTGTTATATTTTTATTATTATTTGGGTTTTTATTTTGTTTTGGTTTTTGAGACAGGGTTTCACTATGTAGCACTTGCTGGCATGGAGCTCACTATATAGAGTAGGCTAGCATCATACTCATAGAGATCCACCACCTTCAGCCTCCCAAGTGCTGGATTATAAGCGTGTGTCACCATGTCCAGCTGTTATATATTTTTGAGACAGGGTTTCTTGTAGCCCAGGTTGACTTGGATGACCTTGATTCTCCTGCCTTTATCTCCTGAATGCTGAGATTGTAGACCTGTGCTACCAAACCTGGTTCCTGTTGTGCTGGGGACTGAACCCAGGGCTTTGTGCATGATAGACAGGCACTCTTCCAACTGAGCTACATCTCCAGCCCTATTTTATTTTTCTTGTTTCTCTTTTATTTTTTGTTTTAAAAAATATTTATTTTTAATAAATATTTATCTTATGTATATGAATGTAATGCCTCGTGTATGTAAGTGCACCTATGTTGTGCAATGCCCACGAAGGTCAGAAGCAGGCATTGGATCTCCTGGAACTGGAGTTACAGATGGTTGTTAGCTGCCATGTGGGTGCTGGGAACTGAACCCAGGACCTCTGAAAGTGCTCTTAACTGCTGAGCCATCTCTCCAGCCCTGATTGTTTATTTTTTAGATGAAGTATTATTTTGTAGTCCTGGCTGACCTTGGACTATTGGAGGTCCTGCTCTCTCAACTTCCAAGTTCTAGGATAACAGGTCCCACCGAGTGTGGCTTCAAAGGCTTCTCAGAGCTAGCATCTCGCAGTTGCCTAAGGTTCTGTCTGGAGGTCATGGGAGTGGCCCACAGAGAGGAAAGATCTGGAAGTATAAAAGGGTGGAGGCAAAGAGTGATCACAAGCTGAAACGGGGATGCTAAATTAGCTGTATGCTCTGTGCCAGGGTTTGTGCTGGAAGCTTCTGTCATATGAACTTCATTTACCTGGGAGATGTGTTCCTGGTTGCACAGCTGTGAAAATCACAACCACAGAGTTGAAGCCCCATGTGCCAGCTCAACAAGGCCAGTAGGCTGCCAGGGGCAGATCCTGAGCCAATAGGTGTCGGTGTTGTCTCCAAGGTTCTGATCCTCCTCAGGGCTATTCAGGGAGTCCAGGACTTTACATGTGGGTCATAGTGCCCCCTACTGGTCAGTCCCAGGCAGCCTG